GAAGACTGCTACTGGAACCAATAAACGAGTGGAGCTAGGTGTGCCGAATTGACCTTACCTCATTACTTGATGTAATGATCCGAAGGTGCACTTTGACGACTGTTACTGTAACTAGTAAAAGAGTAGAACCAGCTATTAAATGTAGTTTATACCTCTTATACCTCTATTGTTGTTTTAGATGCCAAGGCTTAAGACGTTTGGGAAAAGCTCCCGTAAGAAACTTCGTGCCAATAGACGTAATGCAGAAAAAGGAATACGGTTAGTGCTTATATGATTATTAAAAATATATGTATAATTATGAACATTCACTATCATATGATCCTTTTTCACAGGCAAAAGAATGAAAGCAGTTGTGATACGAGTATCGCGACTGACACACCCGAAGTATATCCGGAAAGATATGAGCAAGCGAGTTGTAGTACTTTTGATGACAATAATTTGGAAATACCTCACGTAAGTTATAATGCATTTTAAATAATTACTGTTATGATTTGTTTATTCAATAACTATTTTTGCACTGAAAATAACAAGTTATTTTTTTCTGTATTGTTTTTAGAACACGAACAATGAGGAAACAGAACCGTTCCAGGTATCAGGAACAAGAGTCGTACAAATAGATTATTTTTTTAAACAGCTTCAAGTATCAATCGATTTCAGTTCGAAAGTTCAACAATATCCACTGAGTTGTTTTTGCTGTCGTGCATAGGAAATATAAACGTTTATGAAGCAATGGAGTATATTGTGTGTGCGAAATAAACATATTTTCGTTCTTATTTCTTTTTTATCTAGTTTTCGAGGACCCCAAATGCAAGTATTTGATAGCAAATTTATTGTAAGAATTAGCAAAACAAAACAAAAATGTCTTTAATTATTTGTTTTCAAAAAGCTTGTGGCCTAAATTGTAAGTATTTACATAAGTCCACACGACGACATTTCAAGTTATATATACATTTCCAGTATAACATGGTCGCTTTGCATAGAATTACCATATAATGAGGGATGCGCTTATACTGGTTTGGCATAGCTTGATTGGTCATCGTGCGCACTTTCGCCAGTACCTACTTGCTTACCAACCAATCACTGGCCAATAGTAGCTACTTTTATGACTATTTCACGTTACAAACTTTATAAAAACATATCACAAAAAAAATACACGACAGTAAAATAAACAATAGTAGACTCAAGTATCAAGCCGTGTTAGTTCACTCATAATTTCTCCGCTTCGCGCTAGTCGCTGTGTGTGTGAGCCGTGCACGTGTAGTAGTAAGACTCAATACCTAAAATTGAAGCGCGTCATTTCGTAAATGCGTCCTTAATAACTCGAAAACTACTTCCTCTATTCCAATACCATTTACACATATTGAAAGTTTAGCTTAAAGTTATTCATATTGCAATGTTATTGGTATATTAAGCGAGAAAAAACAAAGGCTACTGTAATTAAACTGAGAACACCGAAATGGCTACAGTAATTAGGCTGAGAATGGCCATTGACAGTTATTGTAACTAGATGTTAGTAACAAATCAGCTATTTATAAAGTATTATTAATGTATGTAAAAGTTGTAACTCTCAATCTAAAGACTGATATGGGCGGGTCTGTCTGGATAGTGTTGAGTTACTCATACACGAGGCAACTCGTTTGTACCACTCGCTTGGTTGGTTTGTCACAACACCTCATGTCATAGCCTCATGTCACAGCCTCACTCATGTCACACTGCTTCGAATTCAACAAATGCAACAATGATTGGTTCTGCACTCCCCGTTTTTTATCTGATTTTACATCATATGATCATACTACCATAGTACTATAAAATTAGCATTTTTTTATACTATATCATCATAACATTTAAGTTATCCAATTGATTGATACCATCAAGTTATGAAAATGTGGTTATTATTCTGTCTGTTAAGTAATTGCCGTAGGTGCAAACATTCTTACCACTATCTCACCTCATTTGAAGTAAGACATTGTACCGCCTCATTTTTTTAAATGAGGTACTCCTTCAAACTCATTTTAATTTCATGTCCTACCCAACACTATGGCCTGGATACTTCCTATAGTCTGTCTTTCTTGAAGATGGAGTAAAAATGACAGTTCATTGTGCAAAAGTGTTGCTCACTTGCGAGCAGCTAGTGATTGCAGTCGATAAATATTCTATCGACTATCAACTGAATATTGGTTACGTTTATGCAATAAATAACCAAACTAGTTTCATTTCAACCATCATCGGCCCATTATCCGTCCAACTGCTGGGCAGAGGTTTAATTGAATTATCAATACATATACTGCATTTTTTTTTCATCAGCACGCCACTCTTGATCTTTAGTAAGTTTAGTAGCAGGCCATATCGACTGCCGGCGAGATACCTCCAAGCTTTACCAGCAGGCCGTGTGGTACGCCGTGATCGCACCAAAAAACAGAAGGGTGCCACCAATAGGGACGAGATCGATATTTGATCTGGATCAGTTATTAGCTGAAGAGCCGACGAATTGACTGTGTTTATTTCGTCGGCTTGCTAATGCAACCTTTGACTGATCCGGGCTAGAATAGTCGAAAAATAATTTAAATTCCTAATTGTGGTACTTCGGCGGCCCACATGGCCTGCTGGGTAAAATTTGAAAATACTTGGTGGCCAGCGGCACTTGGGTCTTTGTGGGCAGCCGGCGACTCACATGGCTGGCTAACATTCGGAGATACGTAGTGGCCTGCTGCAGTTGAATTTTTGTGGGCGGCTGGCGGCCCACGTGGCGCTGAGAGTTAAATCATTAATCTCCGACCACGCACATTATCATATATCATTTAATATCATAGTATTATCTTTAAAGTAGTGTAGCTTACCGGTACAAATATATTAAAGGTACATTGTCTGTTGGCTACCGTGCACTGGAAAATAAGAATCAGAAAACTAAACTAAGTCCAAAATTTTTTTTATATTAATTTGATATATAATAAACCTATCACATGTGCGTGCAACATTGGTCTCATAAATAAATCTACAAACGCGGCGATGGTTCCTTTATTGAATGTACCTACTTTTGTTGAATAATGTACTATTTATGTGAAGAAAAATTATATTATTGGGTGTGTTGACAGGCGGTTCAAGGTATTTGGGCGCCGGGCATCGACGACGCGACTTGCGCGAGAGTCAACCACAAATTTCGACTTATTGCCATTGGGAGAAAGAAGTAAGTAATACAGACATCTGTCTATTGTTAACATACTATCCACTCTATTATATAAGATCATTGACTCTATTTGAAGCGTAGGTAAATATATTCTCCTCAAAAATACACACACAGTCAGGCGGGAAATGACCTAAAGTCACTTTGACACATAACGTGACTAGCGATGATGTAATAACTTTTTCACCTCACTAGCTCGGAAAGGCTTGAGAGTGCACTAATGTGCATTCTCAAAACGTTTTCCACGCTAGTGCGTGGAAAACGTTTTTAAAGTATAAACTTGAGTGTTGTTAATTTTACTTTTTCTTTCGACGAAAAATAAGAATCATAATGATACGTTAACTACGCGATTTTTCGTACATTATTTATGTAATATAAATGCGTTGGTTTATTTTATTCTTATTATTGTTGACATTAAATTGACAACGATAACTAATTTTGTTTAATAAATTATTTTAATTCGTCGAAGAACTAAACTTATTTGTTATAGTTCAACAGTTTTTCTTTCATCTGCCATTTTCTTCGCCATTAGTGAGGTGAAAAGTTGTTCTCCCCGGTGTTTATTTCATTGCTCTGGTACTGTATGGGGATTTCCTGGTATTTGGCGCTGCAACTGTTATGTATAACATAACATGTTTTTTATATATTTCAGTTCTCAAGTAGATGTATTCACGATAGACGAAGTGACGGGGGGACTGGAACTCTCTCATACGATGGTTCTCAGTTCCAAAGACTTCCCAGGTGACCCTGGACCTGTTAAATGTATGAGGTATGTTTTTGTGTACAATCGGCGCCCTCACTTAGGTATCCATAATTGTGAAATGTGAAAATGTGTACTCATAGATATAATTAAATTATCCTTAAGTTGTGGTATTTCTGTCCCGAAACAAACGGATCCCGTCGGGTACCTCCTTTCGGCGGTTTAGGACCACAATGAGTAGTGACAATATCTTCAAACAACCACTTCTACAAACGACCACTTCTTGAAATTACCATATCTTTAAATGCTACTTCTACAAAAGAACACTTATTGAAAAGGTCACTTCTTGCAATGGCCACTTCTTGCATTGACCACTTTTACAATTCAATATGTTTCGGCTTCGGATTAGGAATGTTACCACAAGTTTGACGATGGACCTTTAATATATAGATATTGCTTATTGTCGCCCTGGAGGGCAACGACCATAACGATTTCTTTCTGTCCTTGCTACTACATCTTTTTTCACGTTGCAACGTTGTCATAACACATCGATCCGCCATTTGTCCATACAACAATGCCTATAATGTTTATGTTTTTGTTTTCAGATGGACAGCCGATGGTCGTGCGGTAGCAGTGAGCTGGGAACGCGGCGGTGTGTCCGTCTGGAGTACCTTTGGAGCGCTACTTATGTGTTCGCTTGCTTGGGACCATGGGCTCAACCAGGATCTAGGCAAACATAACCCGCTTGTTATATCTAGTCTGGTACGTAGAAAATACCACAGTTATACCATGAAATGAACTAACACACTTCGTGCAACTCCCGTATATTCGACACATCAATGCCTGCACTTCACTCGGACCGTAGGGTTGTCACATTATTATTTTAGTTGTACCTACAAGTTATAAATATAATAAAAAAAGAATAAGGTGGTCATCACAGTATTCTCGTACTATGTTTAAATAACCTTTGTTAAATGCAGTACTTACGTACTGATATTTTTATACCAGGATCGCGGAATGGTATATCGTTTATGGGAGTACGAGTATTATTATCGTATTTCTGCCGCCAAGCAGTTTCATTTTTGAAGGAAAAAGGTGCTGTTAGAATTACAGGCACATGGGATTTGTCAACTTAATGTGTCAGGGTGACGGGGGCAGTGGCAGTGCCCCTTAGATTGAAAGCTCTGTGTGTCAATGCATTTATTAAGGGTAGGCTTGTCGCTTACTATCAGGCCCACAACCTATTCGTTCCATCACTTATTATCATAAAACAAAACAATATACATTAAACTTTTCAATACCAGGAATGGGCGACAGAAGGATATCAGTTGTGGATGGTGAAAGTCGAAGGAGACGCAAGCTCCAATCTCATTCAGTTGGACTTTGTCAAGAGCCCGCTTAGCGTTAATCCTTGTATGGTGAGTATTGTGGGTAATATAAATAATATAAATAATAAATAAATAAAGTTTATTTATCTACATTGACTTAATAATTAGGGTTGTCTCTATACTATACTGCGCTGCATTAAAACGAGCAATACAAAAAACTGCTTCTAAAAGATAGGGTTATATTTCTTCAAACAAAAAAACGAAATATATATTGCAGCAAGTAACGCGTATTTTGAAAAATGCAGAGTAAGAGTACCAAACACCGCTTTTACAGAGCACCCAAAGGCACCTCTACCTCCAAGCCGACGACAAACTCTATGTAAATCTAGAGGATAATCTCACAAAAAAAACCAAAATCTCCATCATAGACTCTTCAGCTGAAAGTTATCAGGAGAATGGCGTGGATCAACCGAATTTAGAGTTCGAAAACAGTACGAAGTACAGAGAATTTGTGGATGATAATGAATGCAGAAAACAATGGAGCGTGTTGCCGCTGCCCGCTACTTACATTGCCACTAATTGGCCTTTGAGGGTAAGTATTGTAGTATAGTGTCTTCAAGGCTGTAAAAGAACGTAATAATTAATATAAATAATAGCTTTATATACAACAAATTTGATATAAAACTAACAAGCAGTAGACATGGGCTTTACTAGCAGTAGAGCTCCTTGTGAAAGAGTTAGTACAGGAAATTACTGCCACCTTACCTATTTCTGACGCCAATCAGTAATGTGAGCATTACTGCGTTCCTATTTTGAAGTGTGCTAGTGAAATTGCAGGCACATGGTCCTTGTCAATTTATGTCTGAAGGTGACGAGCGCAGATCTATGCGATTAAAAGTAGGACAGACGTGTCGCTTACCACCAGCCGCACGACTTGTTCGTCCCGTCACTGGAAATCATAAAAGAAAGTCAATAACTCAGCTCAAAAACTACTTTGGAGTACATTGATCTCTCTGATTAATTGCCATAGCAAGCGATGGTTGAGAACACTAAATAATCTCAATACAGAGTACTAAAAAACCTACCTCAAAAGTTCGTAGAATTACATCTATTTGCCAAGTTTTATTGCAATCAGTTACCGGAAAGTTCGCGACACCCTATACCCTTTTTCTAACAAAAAAAGAATCATCAAATTCGGTAAGTTATCGCGTAAGATATATACAAAAAAATACTGTCGAATTGAGAAAAGTCGGTTAAAAATGAGCAAACATTACTTTATAACAATAATTCTGCGTCCGGATGCAACGCGTGGCAATGGAAAGGTTCATGACTACTGTAGATAATAATCGTCGGGGATAGTGCAAATCCGCGTATGTAGTATTGGTAAAAGGCGCGTATCTGCACCAAACTAAATTTCACAGGAGAGGGATTTAACATTATTACTTTGTTATTTCAATGGCCACGACTTTTATTTTTGCACAGTAAGCATTAATTTATGTTGTCTACACACTGATAACAATAGAATGCCTTAAAAGACGATAATTTGGTTGCCACGACATTTACGCGGATTTGATTTGGCCACTAAATTACTGAAATGGAAACTTATAACCAAATGCTAGTTACGCGTAATTGCACTATCCCCGATGCTGTTACGCGAAAGCCTTTTATTTATTTAACTGCAAGTTTAAGTATAGTTTGTTGTATATGGACGGTGTTTATTGTATATATTTTTTTAAGTAACTGAATGTAATTCTCCAGTACAGCGCAATCGACGAAGCGGGCATGAACGTATGCGTAGCGGGTCGAACGGGCTTGGCGCACTACAGCGGCGCGTCGAGACGCTGGAAGCTCTTTGGCAACGAAGCTCAAGAGAAGGACTTCGTCGTCACTGGGGGCATGCTGTGGTGGCGCGACTACATTGTTATTGGTATTTATAAGGATTTTCGTTATTTTGTCGAATACTTATTATTGTTTTAAATTTATTTTCTCAACACAAAGGAACAAAGCATACATTAAAAGGTTGTTAAATGTTGTAATCCTTTACCCTTGTTAGCGACTGGAGTGCATACTAGCATACTGCGCGTGTGTGAATGGTTGAAAATGGAATTATTCCGTTTACACCGCTAGATGGCACTGACCACTTTAAAAGCTTCGGTATCATATTATAGTTGTTTCATAAATCGCAGTGTTGTAAATGTCCTTTATCCTGGGTATAGGAATGCATGTTTTTGTGACGTTTAATTATTGATTTCACACACAATTAGTCGGCTTAGCGCGGGATACACCTGAATTATTTAAACTGCCCGGTAAATGCGATGACTTTGAGATAGACTGCTATTCTAGAAAGCCGTCTATATGATCTATGAAAGGACTTTCCGTCACATTTCTATTTGCAAATAATCTGCCTACATTTTGCGACTCGGCGACGTAAATTACTATTGCTCAATTCTATTTAAACCTCCTTTTTGAGTAAATATGTGATTATATACAATGTCAATAGTTTCGTACCAATGCTGGAAATTAATAGAAAATGTTTTTGCTCTGTCAAGGTTGCTACAGCATATTCGACGGTCACGACGAGATCCGTTTCTACCCGCGCGAGTCGAAGCTAGACAATCGCTTCGCGAAGATCGTCCGGGTACAGTCGCAAGTATTCGTGCTCGACATTTTGGACGACCAATTAGTCGTGTTCGGTGCGGACGCGTTGGTTACCATTTACGAACTCAATTGTGTTGACAATGGTGAGTTTTTTATACAACAGTAAATAAATATATATAGATAAACACTATTGACTAGTATGGCACAAATACAAATTGAATACAACAGGAAGAATAAAACATTTTTGTCATGGCAGTGAAATGGCGCTGACTCAGCATATGCCTAAGTTCCCTAAGGCGCTAGTTTTCAGTCAGAACCAACGAGAGGGACTAAATCTAGAAGTTATTTGTAATGAAAGATATAATAAACGACTAGGAGGGAAATTGTTCATTAAAATCTAAATGTAATAAACTGAATAGTGCATCTAAAATAATCTATTCTATATGTAAGTGCATGTGCAGATATAAATATATAAGTGTAACTGTAAGTGAAAATTATAATTGTGAATATGTTTTAGCTAATAAATCAAAGTAAAAATGTATATTTAGAAAGACTACGAAGAAGAGTGCATGGGGATATGAAAACTAATAGTAATAGTAAAATTTAAACAAATTAGACAGATTTTTGTAATGAAAGCAGGTGTTGCCGATAAAGTGCATTGAATTTGTGTTTTGAAGAATAAAGCCTTATATAATAAGACAAGTAGTGTAACTTCATACAACCGTAGAAAACGTAGCTTGTATGTGTGCATAATTATTCGCATAACCTCGATTTGCACAGCACGGGTCGCACGCGCTATTTATTAAGAACTGTGTCTCTACCATGAGATTACAGCATCGAATATATAACCAGAAATATAGACGAAGTTATCGCCATCCATCCCTGGCAACTCACTCATCGGGTAAAGGGGCTTTATATCACTTTTAAATATCAACTCTCGTTTGCGCTGAAATCACAAATTAGAAAACTGAAATAGTACAGCGCCCACAACTGACCTGCGTGTACGTCTCAGCATATTCCAAAAATATTCTGTATTTATTCTAATAAAGATAATATCTCTAACAATGGGAGCTGTTCCATTCGATGGTGAGGGAAAAACAGCAAAACATCTAATTACAAAACAAACGGAATCACATTTCGTCGGTAATTAAATATTAAATATGTAATTTTTCAATTTTAGTCCATTATAGCAAAGCTCAAGTCAAACTAGTTGATTTGAAGAGAAACAATTGACGACACCCGTTTCGAATTAGGGATGGCTAATCGGAACGCATTTGTCACAGTAAGTAATGATTTGGTAGAATAGTTTTCAAAACAAATTAAATGACATTTCGTCTCTATTTCTGGTTATGTACTGGATGGATTACAGTGACGGTTATCGCTAGTGACCGCGTTAAATGTTTGTATACAAATTCTTATTTCTTCTTGTGACCACTAGGGGCGCTGTATAATTTGCAATACAAATTTGTTACTTATGCGGTCGCTAGCGTCAACTGTCACAATAAAATCGTGGTAGAGACACTGAAGCTATCACTTGGTGTTTATAAGTAACTTTTTTGCACAAGTTGGTTTCCCTACATTTAATATTGGGTGGTTTCAATCAGTTTTGTCGGAGCCAACATGTAGTGCCGCGGAGATTTTGTATACATATTTGGTTAGGTAGTATTTTGATTTATCTGTCTGGATTTTATTAAGTGTTTTCTTGAGGTATCGTTTTTCTAATGGGGCTGATATGTTCAATAACGATCAGAGTCTCTAAATAAATAAAGACTAAAAAAAAATTAAACTCAAAGTTAGGGACTTTGCCTACTTTAGAAGACAATGTTTTTTTTTTAAATCTGTGTCATGTTTTTGTGTTCACGGAAGAGAAGAAGTTGTGTCTGAATTACAAATGATTAATTATCTAGTTTAGATAGAAACTTAAGAATAGCGTGGCAACAGACACTGGTTTGAGTCCAGTCAGATTGAAGGATTATTTTTTTCTGTCGTACGATCTTTGCATTGATAATAAGTGTCATATCAATTATAGCGCATCGTATTTTGTTTATATCGTATAATGCCTAAGATTTCAATGTAAACATTGAACATTATAATAATAATAATAACACACACACTCAACATTGAGTATATAACCAGAAATAGAGACGAAATAAGAGCCATCCATCCCTGGCAACTCATCAGGTAAATGGCCTTATATCACTTTTAAATATCAACTCTCGTTTGCACTGAAATCACAAATTAGAAAGCTAAAATAGTACAGCGCCAACAACTGACCTGTGTTTACGTCTCCTTATATTCCAAAAATATTCTGTATTTATAAAGATAATATCTCTAACAATGGGAGGCTGTTCCATTCGGTGGTGTTGGAAAAACAGCAAAACATCTAATTACAAAACAAACGGAATTACATTTAATTAAATATTAAATGTGTAATTTTTAAATTTTCGTCCATTATAGCAAAGCTCACGTTAAACTGGTCGATTTGAAGCCAAACGACACCCGTCAATTGTTTCAAATTTGGGCTGGCCAATCGGAGCGCAGTTGTCACCGTAATGATATGGCAGAATAGTTTTCAAACAAATTAAATGGCATTTCTTCTCTATTTCTGTTTATATACTCGAGGACATTAAAGTAATTCATTCCTTAATAACAAATGACTATTGAAGTATAGATATTTATATGAGTACGATACTTTTTATCCGACTCATGAGTACACTATAATAATAATAATAATAATAATAACGCAACACTCTCATAGCCCCGCACTAGGGAAACCCTGTGTCGTGGGTGCCATGGGCACACACATAGACAACTACAAATGACGCCCAAACTCGCGAGAGAAATAAATGTAGGCCATACACATACTTCTCCCGGCCTGGGAATCGAACCCAGGACCTCTGCGTGGCAGTCCGGCATGGTAGCCGTTCGGCCACAGAGGCAGTTAAAAGTACACTATCGATAGTTTTGATTCGATGCCGTATCCCTAATGACGTCATTTGAAGCCATATCCGGCGCGTAGAGTAGGTGACAAATTGAACATCGTGTTTGTTTGTACAGTGGGCAACGTGGAGATGCGGTGCGTGCAAGCTGTGGACGTGTCTGCATTGTCTCATCCAGCATGCGTGGTGTCCGCGGCACTGTGCCGGCTGCAGGACTCGCCGCGTGCCGCACGAACCTCCACCGTTGTATTATACACACAAAGGCATCCTGACTCTTTGGTAAGGCATAATAAACCTTTTTGCAAAATAAACGACCACCGAAAACTTTACGACCAATTCTTATAAAAAAATGTTGTATTACGTAGGTAACTTATTTCAATTTATGGGCGTTCGTAACGAAGCTAAGCTGGCAAATCCTTTTGCTTACTCATAACGTGCCTACCCACTTCTATAAATATCACAAGGCCACTGAAAGAAGATGTAGTTCGAGTACATATCGACGCCGGAAAGCGATCTTGTCGTATCTCGAAAAATAGGACTTTAGACCGGGGCCTTATATATTTATTGGGGGCGGGGGAATATTTCTTTTTAATTTGAATTAGTAGAAAGTCAATTTTAAAGTATGATTATATACATCCTACTACAAGATCGCTTTCCGGCGTCGATATAGTAGATAAGTGTAGAGAAGATTATTATATTTTTAAAGATCTAAACGCTAAGTGAACCGAAATTAACTATTTTTAACCTCGATCGATGTTTGTTTTTTCGAACAAACCAAAGTTTCGGGCCATTTACAGTGGGGTGATTCACGTAATCAAACCGTTACGATATCGTAGCGATTTAGTCGTTGAACTGCTTTTTCGTATTCACGTGTGACAGTGAACATCAACGAGTCCAATTTTAAAGTCGTTCGATCCAAATGTCGTTAAAGCGTATTCTGGTATATGAATCGAACTTAATTCGACTCTAAACGCCAAGTCATACGTATTCTGCTAAAATTTTGACAGTTCTTTCAATAGACTTTCGACAACTAAATGTCAAATTTCACAATCCAAGATGTCGTTCATTAGTCGTTACGTTTCGATTCTACTCGTATCAACGATCGTTCAAGTGATACGTAGGACTTCGGTCGAACGTAAATTCAAAGATATTTTGATAGCTTGAACTTACGTGAATCGCACTACAGGTCCTATGGTCACGACTGACTTAGATGGTATATATGTATGCCTAATATTAATGCAAACCATACTAGTATTCACATAGTAGTTACAAAAGATATATAATTAATATTAATTTAAAAATAACAATCGACTCTAGATACGTTTCTCAACATATTTTATTTTAACAATATGAATTGAATGAGCCTATGTTTCTCAGGTAATAAACGCTAGTGGAAGATTAATGATGGTGCAAAGAGAGGAATACGATGTTGACGAAGATAACAATCCGGTAAGTTTATTCATTTTTTAATATTTATTTTATCGCAACATTTCAAAATAAATTCTATATTATAAAATCAACACATTATCATTACCTTTTTCATCTTATCACGTAGATAAGGAAATAGATTTATCTTAGTAAATCTTTTAGTAGCATCCCCATTCTTTTGTGACCCTCCCCATCGACCCTTAGGGTATACGAGAAGGGCACTATGACCTATACAAGCAAGTCCGCACAGGGACCTCCTTAGTCAGGTCCTGACTAAGGAGGTTCCTGTGGTCTGACCAGATCCGCCCGTTTGCACAGACTTCATCCGGTTCTCAAAAGATCGCAGTACTTTCGGTAAATTATTGTAAATTTTTGGCGTCATTAAAAACTACTTTTATATAATAAATATGCCACTATTTTGTTATTATTTTTAATACAAAGATCGCACAACACAATGATAAATTCGTTCGGTCTGCTGGATTCGAACCAGCGACTACAATATTATGACTTGATTTATTGAGGAGGCCCGTGCCCAGCAGTGGGACGTTTGTGTGTTGACGATGATGATGAAAGTCTTAGTACGCTCCGAGTACGTTATTTTAATTAGTCGTCATTTTCTTCACTTTCCAGTCTTGTTTATGACGAAGTAGTCAAAATTATCATAATTATTGGTTTAGAAGGTAATAATTATAAATGCGTATTACAAATATATGCTAATAAGTCTCAACACATCATCGAGCACGGTGTACTAATTTAATCTGCTTAATTGTATTTCATACACGATTTCCCCGGTAAACAAGTTGCCTTGTATTGCCTTACAAAAGAAATTTCGTTTCAATCACAGCATTATAATGGTGCTTTTCCACCGGCGAGGCGAGACGAGACGAGGCGAAACGGGAATTGAAATCTTGCCGGCCTATTTCCACTAGCAGTTGCCATTGATAGTTATCGCGAGCTCGCGATTAATATTTACACATGGCGTGCTCACGCTGTGGTTGTGGATAGTGAGGATACAGTGCTGTTCAGTTCGTCTAGCGATAAACACGCGGCTGAATTAACATGTCCCGTGTATTATCGTTATCATTATTATGTTAACGAAAGAAGAATCCGATGAAGCCATCTTTTTTTTATTCAATCTTATTTATTCGTACCTTGCAATCTCGCGATTGATATTAATAGGCGTCGCGAGTATTCGCGAGGCATCGCGTGAATCATGTTTGTGTTGCAGGGCTAATTAACTTTGTATAGGCAGTACTACGGTTTAATATTACACCAACAAAAATTTCGATTCTCCTCTCGCACATCAACACCAATCCAGACTATTTCCACCGAAGATGCGCTCGGACATAATTGATTTTTTTCCATACAAATTTTAAAACATGTCTCGCCTCGTTTCGCCGTTGTAGGTAGGATATTTTGCTTTATGAAGACATTATTTTATTTTTAAAAGTGACCGAATTTGTTTTTCTATAATACTAAGTAACGGGACGAACAAGTTACGAAAGACGAACTTATCCATACCAGTTGCAGTGCCACTCAGAACTTTAATTCGCAAACACCTAAGGGGCACTGCCACTACGCCCGCCACCATGAGACATTAAGTTGACAAGTCCCATGTGCCTGTAATTTCACAATATGAATAAAAAACATGCTGTTTTATGTTGCCGTTCGAAAGGTCAATTATAAAGAACAATT